CGTCTTGGCTTCCTCCTTCGATCCGTCTTGCAAGTGCAGGGTAACCCTGTCCCCGGATCTACTTTCTCGACTGTGTGCTTGTCGCCTACCTAATCCTTCCCAACTCTGGCCGCCTGTAGCTAATCCTTTTCGAGTAGTGTCTCGTAAGCATCTTTGTGCTAAGCCGTCAAAGCCAAAAAGTAGATGTTAAACTAAAGGTGCATCATCAATGGATACCTTCTGCCTCAAACACTTCTCCAGCGGCTTTACTGCAGGTCTGCCATTCTCAGTGTCTAGAACTAGAAACATCGGCTTACCAATCGCCTATCATGTCTCCTCTATTTTTGGATTTCACTTCCCCTTGCTTTGACACCGTGTTTTCGCTTGACTTCTTTAAAAGGAAAAGTTTCTTTCTTTTTCAATCTTTTTTTAATCCACCAATCGGATAGATATTGATTTTGATGAAGAGATAGAAGGAGGATATATAGATTTGCGTGCGGAAGAACTCTGTCTGAGAAGTTAACTCGAGAAGCTTGAGCTTGAAAGGGGTATCGTACACATTTTCTATAAATAAGCACTTGGCTATGGGTGGCCATGAGATCGTTCACTCAATCCCGTGGAAAGAACTCCCTGAGCCTTATAGTTGGAAGCTAAACCAAAGCTAAGTAGGCTCGTAGAGAAAGCCATTTTGCAAGTATACCCCCGGATCTATGTTCCTGAACAGTAAAGGAGATGGCCACCAGCACCCGACTTACCAGAATGTCCCGTGGCAGCACCATGAAAGTCTTGGTTCCTCTTGTAAGCACCTGAAGTATTGAATTTTAACCGTAAGTCAATTCCCAAGCAAGAAAATTGCTTACCTTCATACTTGGCTTTTTAGCAGAGACAGCAATTTAAACATTGTTAGCAATCCTTCGATTAGAATCATGAGGGGGAATAAAGTCTCCATCAAAAACAGCTCGACACCTTCACTCTAAACCAAAATTCTTCCATGTTATCGCACAGAAGTTCGTACGCCACTGGCAATCAAAACCAAACTGCAGATCCTTACAAGAAGCATTGCAACATAACCCATCCGTGAATGCTAAGGAGTAGAAGGTACTTGCAGCTAAGGTCAAAAGCGCACTTTATATATACTAACGCTTTAGAGTGTGAGGGGGAAGTAGAGGAAAAACCAACCCTTGCGAGTCTTTAGGTTGCACATTCATGCCCAGAATATAATCTGCTGCTTGAGCGCTGCTGGGTGAATATCCCTTGCTATTGAATCTACTCCAGTTATCTCATCTATAGAAGGGTATAGAATAGTAGTAGGCTTTTTTTGATCTTCCTTTAGCCTTTCTTTTCATGATAGCTTAAGTTGATTATAGAACGTTAGGAAGCCCTACTGACACATCTCTAATCTTGCTCTTGGCTGCTCCTTGGCTTTATCACACTCGATAGCGGGGTTACGATCACTTTTAGAACTAGTAAGAAAACTAACCAGAATAGGGGTTTCTTTTCCCATAGCTTTCTATCTATCAATTACGAGGGTAGGTACGTCCAGTCAAGTAATCAAGCTTGGACAATACCGCATACCAAAACTGAACAACAAACAAATTTCCTTCCGGGGGGTCTACCCGTCTCACTTGCTTAGTTGACTAAGGTAAGGTAGCTTAACCTTGAAGAAGGGGCATTTCCCTCTCGTCCTATTGTGGTAAGGGTGTAGTCAAGTCTTGGAAGCAAGCAAGTCTCTTAGTGAGTATGGTAATCTGGTCTGTATAGGCAGTCTGGTTGCTAATTGAGTAGCCTCGCAGTCCGTCCAGCCTAGTTTCCTAAGAGTGGTCGATGTCGGCAAAGTTCCTTTTCTTTTGTTTCGGGCCAGCTTTCTCTTGTAAGCATAACTCCCCTTCCTTTCCCCTATACTGAATCCTACCCAGAAGTAGAGGAAGTAGTCTTTCTTTGACTGAGTCCCCTAGTCTTCCATTCGATTCGGTCCTGAGAGCGGTCAAAGTCGTATCAGGTCCAGTTGCTTCTTTTGCTTGAGTTCTTGTCTATTCCTTCAGGAAGTAATTGAGTTTGTTGTTGCTCCCCCCAGTGAGTGATTTCTCTTTCCAAGCCAATTCTTTGATTGGTCTATTCCTCTAGTCGGCTTTAGATTAAGGTCATATTTCCTTGAGAAGAAAAAGTCCTCATCCTCACCTGCAGCAAGAGGAAGGACTGAGTTTTCTTTCTTTTTGTTCCTTGAGCTTGAAACTGTATAAACAGCAGTCCTGGACAAATTTCTTATTGTGCAAATCGGAGAAAGGTACTCAGAGGTGTGTGTGATCGAGTCAATGTGCATTCCTGGTGGATGACCATCTCTGATGCTTTCTTCTGTGTGTGATAGGTATGATTTTTTGTCCATCTAGTGTCTGTGGAAAGAAGAGACAGGCAATGCTTGTCGGGTATTTTGGTCTAACTCTATTCCATTGACTCTATTCTATGGGAAGGATTCTCTTTTGAAGCTTTTATGTCATGTTTTATGCTATTTCATTTCGATTCCGAGCTTCATTTGCACTCAAATCTTTCTATGATAACTTTATTTGAAATTTTAAATGCATCATCACCTATTTAGTTGATGTAGGTGGACAAGAACTTGGAGGAATGTATTGTGCCATATTATTTGTCAAAGTAAGAATCTTGCTTATTGATGTAACCTATAACCTGTAGTACAACTGTAAGTGTAAGTGCACTATCTCTCATTGAAGTGTTGTGATATTGTGGCTAAGTTGCATGATCGAGCTTGTTTTCATTAATTGTCTTATTGTAGTATTATTTCTATTTTTCTTAAAGTGATTGTCCTACTAACATTTAGCCAAGACACAAGACCACCAAAACCATATGTTTTCTTATCTATTGGCTTGTTTTTCTCTACGTTATTATTACTCTTTTAAACTCTCATTTTTCAAGTGCATCACCAAATGAAGCTTGCTTGTGAATTTATTATAGGTTGCAAAAACATTTTCATTCCTTAGTTGATAAGCGACAAATATGCTAGATTTTGCAAAGCTAGAGGTCCTTCTAAAATCCTTGTAAACGTTCACAAAGAAAGTTAACTTAACGAATTAATTCCAACCAAGAGTTGGTTAGAAGATGAATGACTCTTAGATCGAACTTGGAATCTATGATGCTCACTCTTAGATCGAACTTGGAAGTGATTGTCCTAAGAGTGACCATCATAGATTTCAAGATGACGCACTCCAGAATTAGCTTGATCAAAACTAATTCAATGAATCGATTTAAAACATCAAACCTAAAGCAAGGTTTGAAAAATAACACCAAAACGTATAAAAAAAAAACACAAAGGTTTTGTTTGTATTCAACAAATGATCCTTTGGCAAGCATGAATATTACAAGCCTTTAAATAGACCAACAAGATAACCCAAATATCATGAAGTTCACTACCGTCTACAAATTACAACTACCAATAAAAGCTTGTAAATACAAATTGAATAAAATAACGCAAACATAAATTGTCTTAATTGGTAGTTCAACTGTCAAAAGCAAAGTCTTATAATCACTTTCCAATGTCGGTCACTCCATTATTTTCTTGATTTAAAATGCTAATGCTATAAAGATTTTTGGGCTCAAAAGTCTTTGTCTCAACTTGTACACTAGCTAGCCTTTGAAGATACAATGTATAGGCCTCTTGTATCTTTTTAGTCTTGCTTCTTGTAATTGGTCCTTTGGGTACATGCAAATGGCCAGTAGTTGAATTCATATCATTAGTATTTTTACGTGTTAGTCATATTTTCTAGAATACACCATAAGATTTTTTTTGTTCTACTGGTTTGTCTTCATATCATAGGTGATGGTTTTAGGAGTTTGTTTATAGCCCTATGCGAATTAAAGTTCTCTCAAAGTTATGACATTGAGTACGGCTAGTCCATTGGAACCTTTTTGTAGATAGACCTGGAAAAACTCCTCAGTACTAGAAGGTAGCAATAGTACAAGGAATGTGAAGACTCCTACATCAAGTATGTGCTGACATACATCCTTTTGATTTTTGCTTATGTTATTTTTTCATTTACATGATATTATATTAGTTTGATAAGAATACAAATATGTGGCGAATTCTTTTTCTGTTTTGTGGGGAGGGGGAATGGATTTGCAAGTAATACTAATGAAAGACTTACCTAAGTGATACAATAAATAACAGTCCTGCAAAGTTATTCTTTTTATTATTATTATTATTATTATTTTTAACTTAAAGTTTTGATTTGGCGTGAGAGTTTGGTATAACTTGCTGTTGTTCGGTATATTTGAGAGTTTGTTGTTATTGTTAAGGCTCTCATATTTTCTATGGTTTGGTTCTTATAGTGAGCAATTTCTTAAAGAACGTGATTGATGGGACTAGGTGTAGTATAGAAATGGTGTCTCATATCTTGCTCATCTTGCTAACAATATTATTGTAATTTCTGTCTTAAATTTATTTAATTTTACTTTCAATATAAGAATTATAATATTATCCTCTTTTTGGAAATGTAATTATATATTTTTGTAGCTACATTCTCTTTATTAAACAAAGCAAATGCAATATAAAATTAAAGATCGTTCGTTATTTATAGGAAATGGAAGGTGACAGAAGACTTACAACACAAAGACATGACATGATAGCGGTCCGAGACAATCGAGCATCAATGCAAATAATGGATAATATTTTATTTTGTATTGTTCGAACAATTTTTTTTTATTTATGAAATTATTGAATACTCATTTTTAATATATGATAAAGTTTCAATTGTAAATGTTTTTATAGCCATGTATATAAGCTATAGTTTTAAATACTATATTATAGCATATATTATAGCTATAAAAAAACGCTACAAAAAGTCTTAGACTTTTAATAACATGGGCTGTTACGACGTATGAAAAACGCTATAAAAAGTCTATAATAACGTTTTTTGTATGCTATCGTATCCATTATTTCTTGTAGTGCGTGGTCCTTTCTTTATGTTGGTTTCTAATGGAGTCAGCAGACACTAGCTTATATTCCGGCCTAGTAAAGATTTGAAATCGCAACGTACCTTAAATGAGAAAATCATCGTCAAACATGGATCACACTGGCAACCGTAGCCGTGGTCGTGGAACTTATTAACAACACAAGCAAACGTCATTTCCCCGCCAAAGATTAAAAAAGAAAAAAAGAAAATATAATGAGAAGGAGAGTTATTTAGGGTTAGGAACTTAGGAAAACACTTTTGTTTTCTTAATGAAGGATGTCAATGTTGTTGCTGAGCTCCTCCAGCTTCTTCATCCTCAATTTTTCGCTCTCATTCACCAACTGACAAAATCATTCAAATTTACCATCAAATATATAATATATTTTAATTAATTATTACTATAATTGCTACAATGGATAATTGTAATAATCCCATTTATGTAATTATGAGGGATTTAATAATTCATTTATATAATTTATATAATTTTAAGGGAAATAAAAAAAAATATATATATATAAATGGAAAGAGAAAAGAATAAAAGATTGACCTCCATTAGTTTGGCTATCAATTGAGATTTCTCCTTGTTCTTCTCGTTCAATAACTCTAGTACTTCCTTGTATTCTCTCTCCTGGTATCGTATGGACCAAATAAATCAAAATACTTTATTAATTTAACAATTACTTCATATATATATATATATATATATATATATACGTTCAAATATTGACGATAAAACAAAATTAAAACTCTTTGTAATTTTTAAAAGTTCATAGCTATTTTTTTTTAAACATAATACTAACAATAAGAATATTTTTTAAAAGTATGGTTAAACTTTAAAACAATTCATTAAAATACCCTTCAAATTAAAAAAAAAAAAAAAAAAAAAATTGGACGTATTTTTTGGACAATATATACCATTTATAAGTTTTATTTATTAATTAATTTAGCCTAAAAATTAAGATTTGATAGAGTGTGGTCACGAGAATTATAACATATTGTGAGATCCTATGTTAGTTGGAGAGGAGAACGAAACATTCTCTTTAAGAATGTGGAACCTCTTCCTAACAGACACATGGAGAGGAGAACAAAACATTCTTTTTAGGTGTGGAAACTTCTCCCTAACATATACCTTTTAAAAATCTTGAGAGAAGTCGGAAAGGGAAAGCCCAAATTTGTTAGGAGTGGGCTTGAGACGTTACAAATGGTATCTGAGTAAGAGAGGGGATGGTGTACCAACAAGAACATTGGGCCTGAAGGGGGTGGATTGTGAGATCCCACATCAATTGGAGAGGGAAATGAGTGCTAGCTTAGACCCTGAGTCTAAAACTGGAGATTGTGAGATCACATGCTCTGTTAGAGAGGGGAATGAAGTGAGCATGTAGGCTGAGTCCAGATGGGGTGGATTGTGCACTTTATATAACTGTGTGAAAACCTATCCATACGTGAATACACTTTTCAATCCGCTTACAGAGAAGAGAAAGAAAGAAGGATGAATTCAAGAAAGGGGAAAATGTTTTGAGAAATTTGATTAAAAAAAAATGGATGAAGTTTGGAATCAGGACCTTCTTTTGGCAGGTGATTCCCAATGGCTTCAACTCTTTGTTCACCAAATCAATCTTCTTCCGGATCAACGAAACTTCCTTCCTCATCGGATCCGTCATTCCTTCAAGTTCCTGTGTTCATTTCATTCCAGTTTCTTCTCATCAATTTCAATTCTAACCCTAATCAATGGATTGATTGGAATTGGATACAATCCCACACACTTACTTCGCGGATCTCCGCCAATCGCTTCGTCGCTTCTTCTGCTCGTCCAAGTCGATTCTCCACCTTCTCCCTCATCTCCATCTTCTTCCTCTCGATCTCCTCTTCCTTCGCGCGGAACAGAGCCAACGCCGATCGCGAAAGCTCCTCCTCTTGATCCTCCCTCGCCGGACTCCCAATCGCCTTCTTCACTCTCTGCTGCATCTGCGATTGTTGCGCCTCCCAGCTCTGTTTCTGCGTCGTCATGCCTTCTCTCTCGCAAATGATGATGATGATGATGATGATTCTCTTTCTCTGTTAGGTGGCCATACGCAAAGCGGCGCAAGGCTTTTAAGGAAGGTATGTTACCCTTCCCTTCCCTTCCCTTCCCTACCCTCTGCTTTACCTTATTACTTCTCAACAGACATCGCAATCGATATGAGTTTGACCTAATTCTGCACTCTGCTGTTTTTGTTGTGAAATTTGGAACCAAAATGCACTTATCTTTACTCAAACGCCTCGTTGATTAGACCTGAATTTACAGATTGTTTTTGGAAATCTATAAATATACACTTCAGAAAACTGAGTTACCAAATTGTGATGGAGAGTTTAGTTTTGCTTTGGGTCAAAGAAGTGGAATGTGGTATTGGTTTTGTGGCAATGATTTTTGGGGGGTTTCTTCCTAGGAATAGAATTGCAGGTGCTTGGGATTCAAGTTTTGTTGTATTGGAGTGGGGAGTAAGGTGTTGTTGTTACCTGCACTGAGAATGAAATGAATAATGGGGAAAAGCCTTAAGAACTAAGACTGAGTTGGAGAGATGGGTAACAGCAGAGCTGCAAAAAGGCTGCTTCTCTTTCTGTCCCCTTATTATTATTATCATTACTTTGCTTACTTGCAACAAAGATCTCTCACCTTTTCCTTTTCCTTTTCTTTTTCCCATTTTGAATTCATTCCTGTTCTTATCAACACCTTTCTTTAGCACCTTGCAAGGAATCTGTCACCAAACCCTTCGTTGTCTTGCTGCTGTTTTCTGAAGAGTTCTCTGTTTCTTTAAATGGTTATCGGAACGCATATAAATATTAATGTTATTATCCCAGCGCATATAAATATTAATGTTATTGTAATCCCATATTGGTTGGAAATGGGAGTGAAGCATTCTTTATAAGAGTGTGAAAACTATACGTAACGGGCGAAAGTAGACAATATTTGCTAGCAATGAGCTTAGGCTATTATAAATGGTATTAGAGCCAGACACCAGCGGTGTGCCAATGAGAATGCTGGCCCCAAGGAGGGGTGGATTGTGAGATCTCACATCGGTTGGAGAGAGGAACGGAGCATCTCTTATAAGAGTGTGGAAACCTCTTCCTAGTAGACGCATTTTAAAACTGTGAGGCTAACGGCGATACGTAACGGGTCGAAGCGGACAATGTCTATGAGTAATAGGCTTGAGAGGTGAGCATTGCTTAGGCAATTAGCTTAAGTGAGTTCATTCTCCCTTGATAGAAAGAAGACATAATCAATAAGGTTCTCTTTTTTTTTTTTTTTTTAACTCAAGTATCTTCGCATTAGGGGTAAGATTCAATTCTTAACCATTTTTTTAAACAAATGTGAGGTAAGAGATTGGACCTTCGACTTTAGCGAACATAACAAGTCACATCTATTCAGTTATGTTTAGATTTACCATTCAAATATTCGCAACTTATATACGAAAATTTATGATACTTTAACCTTACATGTTCTTGTTGAGTTGTTGGTAATAAAAGAGTTAAATACTAAAATATTATATGCTCGATGATTCGAAGTTAGATTGGGTTTCTCTAACGTTGAATTGCCTATTCCCAATACTTTGTCAACTTTGTGTGTTGTTTAGTTGGGGAAGTGAAGCTTCAACAGCTATTTGGATTTGGTCGGAACCTAACAGAATTTTGGAGTTTTATCATTACAAGTTGGAAGAAAAATCCAAAGTTTGGGGTGCTGCGTCTTTCTCACTTAATGGATTAACTTAGCTCGTAAATGTTCCATTTAAAATTATGAGTGTTTGAATTGTATTAGTATAGTCCTTCTTTTTCAACTTTGTTGATGGAGTGATATGCACGTAATCACTAATCGCCTATGAGTATTGAAGAATGGGTTGTTTTAAGCATAAGGGTCATCTCTTCTTACAAAATGAACCACGAGTCCAAATATGTCAATGAGAACGCCACAATGTGGCTGTACCCGTCGGATGTAGATTCTAAAATTTTAAGTACTTCCATCATTTTGGACAAAATTGTATCATGAAAAAAATTGTAAAAAAACAAATTAGTTTAAAGTTTCCAATCAACTTATAAGGAATTTAGTTTCTTTTTTCACCAACGGACCAAAAGAAAAGCAACCAACCTGGTCAGCCATCAATATATATTAATTTATTTTGGACGAAACAAATATATATGTTTTATCTTTAAACTTAACCACTTACCTCAAATTTCATCCTAACTTTTATTTTCTTCCAATTGGACTCTAAATTTAGTAAATTGTTGTAATTTTTATCATTAAATTTTTTTTCCGTACCACCTATGCCACCCAATAATTTTAATAAAAAGCAATTCAAAAATCTAAAAAAACGTACTAATTATAACAACAATAAAATTCTACACAAAAAAAAACCTCACAAATTTCTAGAAGATATCAACCCCTCATTATGGGTAATACTAGTTTGTGAAAGTTGAAGGTCAAACTTGATATTAAGAGTAAAATATTTTACTTGTTTATTTTCTAGAACAAGTATTTGAGGAGTATGATCAAACTAGGATAACAGTTTCTTTAAACTTGAGCGGGAAACTCCAAACCATGCCCATCGAGAACCAACAGAAATGAAAATGCCACCACTAATTGGTAAGTACTACCTCTTGAGGTTCAAATTTTCATAGCTCAATAAAAAGAAAAACTAGGAGTCCAACTACCCAACGACAAGAATCCATGGTCCAAGGAGGATCACATCTGCCGTGGACAAGAGACTTAAAGTATTGGAAACATTTCATTATCATCAATCAATACAAGTGAGCTTCCGATATGATATTAAATAAAGTCATGCTTTTGCAATGTGAAACAAAATCAATCCCCACTGGCACATCCCCTGCAACCACAATGCACACACTCCACGACTTTCTCTTCTCTCAAGTGTTTCGGGACTCGGCAGACACACGTCGTGCCGAAGTTATGGTCCCGAGGCTGTATGCAACGGAGGCAACAGAGACGCTCATATCCTGGCTGTATTTTCAACAGGAGTTTGTTTAGATACCAATCTGAACTATCATAAATATTAAATATCACCCATGCAAGGTTCAAACACTGGTGAGACGAATGGTTGGTTAATGAACGACTATCAATTCAAATTCTAGATTTTCGAACTGAGAGACTAAGAATTCTCACTATTTCTTAGATTCATGGACTCAATTCAATTCAGTGAGATCTTTCATTCACATTTTTTTTCCATGAAGAACGTTTTATAAAACACTAAGACTTCCGGAATTAGAGTATCCTACTTTCACGCAATTCACAGGGTTCAACATGCAATCAATATTTCACAATCAAGGGTGTAGCACTATTTGTAGTAGCAGTACTTATATATCGTATTAACAATCGGAAGATGGTCGAAAGAAAAAATCTCTACTTGACAGGGTTTCTTCCTATACCTATGAATTTCGTTGGACCCTGAAATGATGCATTGGAAGAATCTTTTGGCTCTTCCAAGCACAGACACATTCAATCAAATTAAGGATAATCCCCATAGTTAAGCAGGGGATTGATAATTGTTTTAGTCTTGTTCACTTGGAATCCAGAAGGGGAAAAATAATTTTGTTGGACTGAAACTATATTTATGATGAAGTGGTTTGGGTATGAATGAATACCTTTTTCCATTTAGCAATGAGGTTGGCATCTGCATAGCCTTGTTCTAAGCAGAACTCATAGAGCTCCCTGGATATTTCACTCCTTTTGTGGAAAAGGTCAAAAATGTATCGGCTCCTTTGATGTGAAATCTTGAAAATAGGCCACAATGCTTCACACTTCCGCTTCCCATCCTGCGGATCAATTTCAGCTGCAAAACAACACAAAAATAACCCTAAAAACATCACAAAAGAAAGAAAAGGAACTTGAGAATAAACAATATAATCAATCCACAGCTAAGCTTCGTCGTTTAAGGCACCAGCAATTGTAAAGCTATATTGAGCAAACCTTCTCTCATTTTAGAATCGAGCTCTCGTAGAGTTGGCTCAATCAATTCCCATCCATTTGGGTATTTGATCTTGCTGGTCTTCACTTTAGGCATTTCTCCAACTCCTGCAGATTAAACGAAGAAGAACAACGCGAAAACAGCAGCTTCAGAGTAGCAATGTGCAGATTAAACGAAGATGAACAACACGAAAACAGCAGCTTCAGAGTAGCAATATGCAGATTAAACGAAGATGAACAATGCGAAAACAGCAGAGCTTCAGAGTAGCAATGTGCAGATTAAACGAAGATGAACAACGCGAAAACAGCAGCTTTAGAGTAGCAATGTGAAGATTAAACGAAGATGAACAATGCGAAAACAGCAGAGCTTCAGAGTAGCAATGTGCAGATTAAAGGAAGATGAACAACGCGAAAACAGCGGCTTCAGAGTAGCAATGTGCAGATTAAACGAAGATGAACAACGCGACAACAGCAGCTTCAGACTAGCAATTTCATCAAACATAAGCACAGAACCGTTCATTCGACAAGTTTTATGGCTACGCGAAATTCCACAAAGAATTAAGTGCAGAAAAATCTACCAATTATGACCAAGTAAAGTGGAAAAACATAAGAATGTTAATGCTTCAATCGAAACCAGATTTCTAGGAGAAACCTAATAATACAGTCTTTGTGAAATCGTAATGTGAAAAGATTTAGGGTTTCGTAGTTCAGAGAAGATAGAGTATGAAGGAATTACCTGAAGTTGAGAGTCTGTAAGAAGTTCGTCCAAGATTTGAAGGTTGTATTTGGAAGTACAATGGAAATGGGAGATCGATAGCGGACTTTGTAGTTGATCTTCAATAACACGATGAGGCTTAGCCAAAGTAAAGGAAGGAAACAACTCAAAGAACTTCAATTTTTCAGTTTTAATTAAATTTAGTTTTTTTTTTTTTTTTTTTTTTTTTTTTTTTTTTTTTTTTTTTTTTTTTTTTTTTTTTTTTT